AAACGGAGGCCGTCTTTAAGTGTTGAGGGCCTGTTGGAACCACTCCCCTACCAGACCAAGTAAGGCTGATGATCTATGTCTGACGACTCGACTGTCCCGGGGGATACGAACCCTCCCAAGGACCGGTATAGACCGGCGGGCTGCTCGGTGTGGCACAGTAGGCTGGAAAGGCTGAGTTGTGGGCTGAAAGCACATGCAGAACCAAGCTGATCACGTCGTCCTGTCTGCGACATTAAAGAATTCTTGAGGAGTTACGGGGGATCTCCTTAAATGCCTCTTGATCAGCCACTGGTTCAGTAGTGACAGCCATAGCATAGGTCTAGGCTAGAGACCATAGTTGACAGGGTCCTTCTCAGGATTCTGTAAGTCTTAGATTGAGTCTATAGGTTTGTCAGTCAGGGGTCAGAGTCTACGTGGTGAGGTATGGAACCACTAACCCGGTTGTACACTTATCACCATGGTTGAGACCTGTAGTGGGACGGAGACTAGTCCCTACACCCCTGAGCAGCAAGCAAAGATGGCCGCCTTAGTGAAAGAGAACAAGGAGAGAAAAGAGCGCGAGAAGCAGGCGAAGCTAAAGGCTATCGCAGATGAGCAGGCGACAAAGATGAAGAGGTTGGAGGAGGAGATGAAGAGGGTACAACAGGAGGAGGAAGAAAGAAGGAAGGCTGCCGAAGCAGAAGCGGCAGCAGAAGAAGAGAAAGAGAGAATGAGAATTGAGAGTGGGGAAGGAAGTAGTGGTGGCACGATGAAGTGGGAGACAGACACTGAGCTGGAGAAGAAGATCAGCGAGTGGGTCGCTAATTTATCGTTGGGGGAAGACGAGGAGGCGGAGTCCTATGTGACTAAGGATGAGAAGGCTGCGCTGGCCGCTGAGCTAGCAGCCATGACCGACCCAATGGAACGAAAAGAGAGGGAAAACGAGCAAAAGTTAGCATGGAAGTTGAGAATGAAGAGGGAGAAGAAGAGGAGGAGAGAGGAGGTGAATAAGATGACCGCAGCAGTGGCAAAGGTGCAGGAGTGTAGAGCGGAGGTGCTGGCCCAGCCAGATGATAATGCAAAGTGGGACAAAGTACTGGGGTACCTGGAGGTGCTGAGCAAGGCCTAGATGGAGGAGCGTCAGGCAAGCTGGAGCCAGGATGTAGCGTTGAGTGCCATGCGGTCCGGGCTTAGGGATTTTGCGCGTGAAATCGTCACCCACATTGGGGGCGAAGTCAAACAGTTGAGGGACAACGTAGGGAAGTTTTGTGAGGGCGCCATTCCGGGTGCCAAAGCTGCAGCCGCTGTAGAAGGAGAGGGCAGACCCCGTAAGGACCCAGTGAAACTTAAGTTCCCAGACGCGTACGGGGGAAAGAAGGACGAGAACTTTGACAACAGGGAGGCCAGTGTCAATAGTTACATTTACTTACAACATATCCTGATAGAGGAGCAAGTCCTCGTGGCCTTCCAGGCCCTGAAGGACGAAGCGGCTAGCTTCGCCAGGTCTCTCGCGCGTATAGCCGGTTGTGAAAACAACYTGGYTGCATATTCCAAAGTCACTCCTCTTTCCCAATTCCTCAAGCTCCTCAAGGAGCGGTTCGCTGACCCAACGCGAGGCATTAGAGCCTCTGATAAGCTCCAAGCGATCCACTCCCGGCAGTGGAGGAGTGCCAAGGCACTCAAGGGTACCATGGACGACTTGGTAGCCATCCCGGACCACGGGGTCACTGAGCCCAAGTTGGTCCAGTTGTTTTATCGTGCCATTCCAGAGGCCCTACGCGGGCATTTCTTTGACAAATCTCAGCAGGCCGGCATGACTTACGATGCATTGAGTAGAGAAGTCGTCCTGTATGAGTCGAAGTCTATGCCAGTTACCACTTTCTGGCACAAGGACCTGGAGAAGGGGAAGAAGTGGAAAGATCGTACCATCTTGGGCCAAGTCAAGGCCAAGGATCACTTGATCCTGACATTAGAGGAGGGTGGTACAGAAGAGGTCCCATATGATCAGATTGAGTKGGGCCTAGGGGAGGAGTACAGTAGTGTAGGGCAGGGGAGGTCTTACGCTGCTGTCGCGGCCGGAGGGAGGCCGCAAGGTAGAGGAGGAGGCCAGGGCCAAAGGGACCAGGCCATGGGAGGCCGAGGACCGGGCGCACATGGGGTTGGCGGACAGGGAAACCGCCAAGCGGGAGGTAGGGGTCAAGGTCCCCCATTAAATCGCCAAGGTAACCGGTCCCCACAGCGAGGAGGTGGAAGGGCACCTCAAGGAGGATGGCACCCAGGCTTGCCGCAGGGCAGGCCCTGGGAAGACTTGGGCTTGGACCGACGATTATGGCAGGAACGCGTGAACCTGGGTCAGTGCGTATTCTGTGGAGACCCGGCGCACGTAATTAAATTTTGTCCAAAGTATAGACAGGCCCGTTGGGCTGCCCAACAGTCAAAAGGCAGCCGCCAGTAGGGGTTGCAACTGCCCCTACTTCTAGGCCATGTGGAGAAGTGAGCGCGCGCGAACATGACACTCCCAACCCACATGAGCCTATGGCAGAGGTTGCAGGCCCGTGCCTAGGTAGCTGTCCAGAGACTGCTTGTGTTAGAGTCTCCTTAGGCACGTCCCTCACAGGTGTGGTAGAAGAGTTAAAAGAGAGAATGCCGGCCTGGGCCAAAATGAAAAGAGAGAGTAAGGGACAACTGATTTTGGTAGACGTAGAGGTGTTTAGAAGTAAAGTAGGGGCCCTTATAGACTCAGGGGCTACCCGTAGTTACATTAGCCGTAGGGCGCTGAAGAAGTTGAGGCTAGGACTAAAAGTCCAGAAGTTAGTAGACCCCATAGTCAGTGTCCTCGCAGACAACCGCACGATGCGAGTTGAGGACTACGTAGAGGGAGTCCAGGCGTACTTTTGCCTAGAGAAGGATGGGAAGGTGGAGAAAGTTCTCCATTCCCCGACTCTCCTCGTACAAGATGACCTTCCTTTTGATATAGTGTTGGGAATGGATTGGGGGGAGGCAGCAGGGGCCACACTTCATTTGAGAGAGCATGAGTGTAGGCTCCCTAGTCCGGCAGGCGAAGTWAAGACTGCCCGCTTGTTCCATGTGTCGGGTGTAGACAACACCTTGGCATATTGCTGTCTCAGTGCTCCCGCGTTCGCGCGATTAGTCAAGAAGGAGCAGTTAGAAGACCAGGTCTTTGTAGTTTATGTTAGAACTGTCACTGAGGCCCAGGAAAAGGATAGTTCCACAGATCCAACAATTGCCAAGCTGCTGGAAGAATTTAAAGACTTGACTGAGTCGCCGACAGGAGTAGTGTCGCGACCCATTCAGCACAGGATAAAGATAGAGCCTGGCAGTAGAACTCCTAAGGGTGCAGTCTACAGGATGTCCCCTAGAGAGTTAGAGGAGCTTCGCAAGCAATTAGACGAACTCCTTGAGAAAGGTTGGATCAGGCCCAGTTCGTCTCCTTT